AGCGTGACGTAGTGATAAAACGTTACATTTGGTAACGTTAAATTCCATATCATTGGAGACAGACCATCTGTGGGCTTCGTCAAGGGCTCTCTGGAGATCAAATGAATCTTCTGATTTTTTTATTGTCCTCCATATTTTGGCATCATCTGCGAACAGCAGAGTTTGTGGTCCGAGGACGTCTGGAAGATCATTTATAAAGGCAAGGAAAAGACGTGTGCCTAGTACAGATCCCTGTGGAACCCCACGTTTAAGATCTATTGGATCATAAATTGAATCAGAAACACGAACTGACATGGTACGTANGATCCAGCCAAGTACGAGTCCACGAATTCCATAGTTATACAGCTTCCGTATCAGTATTTGATGATTTACCCTAGCAAATGCTCTTTGAGAAGTCCAGGTAAATAACATCTACCCCTTTGCCTTGGTCTACAGCATGAGTCCAATTGTCCCGAGCCAAAATCAAGTTAGTTGTGCATAACCTGTTTTTGCGAAACTCGTGCTGGGCTGGGGATAGTAAACCCTTATTCTTCTGATGAGCTATGAGAGAGAGAGAGTTATAAGTAATATGAAAGTGGTTCTCTTCGATTTCCGTCTTGTTTTTTTGAAAAACATTGTTTGTTCATTCTTGGACAAATACGTTTCACATCACTGCTATTTTGCATAAGTTGTCGCATATACTTCATTTCATTGGCACGAATATAAAACGCTAAAAATGCTGTTTAGCAAAGGTGCTAGTTATTCTATCCACTTGTTCTACGGGATTAATTGACCCATACATGCTACCTCAAAGCCTGCGGAAGTGGGCCGGTGTTTAATATCCCATGCTGATGACAACACGGCAAATATCAGGAACAACAACAGCCAGTTAGTCAACGGGAAAGCACCGGAAGTTTAGCCTGAGCGCGCTCGGGAGCATCTAAACGCAAAAGGCAAGTGAAGCTGTAGCACTGAACTTACGCCCCGTTCCAAGTGAATAAACTCCACCTGAGGTGGTTTTGACTTAAATAAACATAGAAGACGTCACTAAAGAAGCCACATCAGGTAATTGACGATCCTGGTAATCTATGCTAGAAAAGGAGAAGAATGCACGAACGAATGCTCTTACACCTATAACCATGTGAAAGCATACGCGCGAAACAAGCAGACCAAAGGTGGTGATAAATCTCCAAGATTTTACACTGTCGGTCACTTATGTATGTACACATGTATAATGCGGTTTAAGTGGTTAATAATATTTGATTAAGTTTTCAAAGACATTAGACAGAGAGAGAGACTGAGAAAAACAAAATTTGCCAAACATGTTTGTCATCACATCAGAAACAGAGTGATAAATCATTCATGCTGTTTTCACTGTTGGGAATGGCAGGTTCAAATGTTCACTGACTCGTTGGGACTGACGTTGGGACTCTTGAATACACCGAGTATTCAAGAGTGTGCTGTGATTGAAGGAGAGATATTTTACTACATATGTTACTGGTGACATCATAACTTCAAAATTTCCAACCCCTTTTTGTCTCGGAAGCCAGACCGGTATGTATTTCGATTACTCACTAGGACTGTGACCTCTTAGTCCCACCGGTGTAGATGGTTGAGCACACACAGTTGGATAGATAAATTCAGTTAGGTTGGACGTAAAAAAACAGCGGTTATTTTAACGCGGATGATGAACATCGGGTGGCTGTGAAGACAACCATAGGTTCAACTGCACAATAGGCACACGCACAGAGCTGGCTTTAAACGCTTGGTAGTCATTCCTGCCACTCCAGCAATTTGAAAGACTAACTCTCACCTCGACCAAACTAATACCTGATCGGAGAGAAGTTGAAAAAAACATATTTTGTCCGGAGTATGCAGTGTGTTGTAACACTGATTCTCTGAATGATATACCCAAATAGGGGAGGGAGGATTTAGCAACAATAAATACAAAGCATTCGTTTGTTTCATTGTGGTCACTTCAAGCTACCACAAATATATCTTCTCCTTGTGTTTCGTTCCACAGCTGATAAATAATTAGCTAAGGTGACGGCAGTATCGATTCCGTTTGTAAATTTCCTCCTGTAATTTCGTTCTTGTTTACGGTGGTTTACGAGCGTGTCATCAAGATTTTGGTCCACTCGGTTAATCATGAATCTGGTTAGAATTCAAAAAATGGGATGAACTACATTTTTTGGGCGTAGGACCCAGATTATTGTAAACTCATTTGAATAGCTACCTGCAAATCCTGAGTTCAAATCCCGCTACCTTCGTCATATTCCATATCTCTTTTATTCCGTAAACAGCCTTTGATGTGCCGCAGATCCTAACTCTTTACCACGTAAGGAAGGAATTAAAAATATGATATTTTTCATATAGTAATAGTATAATATATTTAATATATAGTAATAATACTTCTTAAGGTGCAAAATTCAGAGGAATTAGGACCCTTGGGTTAGACCAATAATTAGTCTCTTTAATTTTATCATTGTGCCGTGACAAATCATATTTATGCAAGAATATAACTTCGGGGTTTAGTTTGATTGATGGTAACCAGGAAAAACTAGGTGAGGGTAATTGTTTCTGGGAGTTTATTGTTCGAATATAAAATATTTACATTATGAGTCATAATTGATCCATTTAATGGCTGTGTTCATAAGCTACACTGTTCCATCGGTCTACCAGGGATGTTTGAAATCCGAAACTTCAGTTTTGTGCAGAAAAATGTGAGTTTTCCAAATACATGATTATTTGATTGATCTGATTCGTGGAACCCGTTAAAATGCATGTTTAAATAGAATGTCTATTCACCAAATCTCCAGTCTTCACCAACTGTGTCACAACCAGAGTTGGGATCATCTGGTTCCATCTGCGTTGTACGACCCACACCAGTTAGATCGCAGATGCGACTGATGCGACTGGTAGAAAGATAAAGAAATCATGGGTAATTAACCATGACATCTAACATCAAACTGCTAGTGATATCTAGAGCTTGTAATTGAGTTTGGCTTGATTAACCGCCAAGGTAACAGAACCTCATTAACACTCTCGATTGGTCCGGCTCCCCGGAAGTGGGAATTTGATAAATTCTTTAGCTTCTAGCCAAACCATCAGAAACGTCTGACTTTTTCAGTTCACTTGCTGTCGGTGGATGGATGTTCTGGAGTAACCGTTTTCCAGGTAGCCATTTAATACCCGTTCATTCCAAGCAAACTGCATTTTTTGGAATAAATACATCTGCCAACAAGTGGCGAAAAGAGTGTCAAATGGCACCTTTAGGTCATATGTACGAAACTATTGTCCGTTCTGTGTGGCTTTCTGGTAAGAATTTCGTCTTGATCTATTCATCTGAATGTTCTACTTAACTAAATTAAAGGAACGGTAGTTTACTGTCTTCCGTTTGAACTCTCAATCGTTTTTCATTAAAGGGACAAAGGGTTAGATTAGGACACATTTTTTGATAAATAAGTTACTTTCTAGATGCAAGGGAAAGTGGTCAGTTGAATCAATTTATTGGATTGGGGGATAGATTTGATGGGGAGGTAATCCTTTCATATTTGTTCATGATCTGAGGAAGCTCTTTTTTTCTTTGGGTTCACACATTCTACGTTCTCTGGCGTAAAATTATTGCGATTTACACGAATAGACAATCATCTCTTTCCTAGCTGTCAAATCAAACCAACTGACAACGAAAAAGCTCGATCCAATGCAATTATACTGTCCATTTGGACTGACCGACTTTCAGACTTCACCACTCATGCGCAGTCCTTTGGGGTATCCGGTTCACAAGTGACATCAACTGTTTACCCATTAGAGCTCATAGGTAGTGCATATCCACCGTCCAGTTTGAACTCTGTCCTTCGAACCAATCTCACGGATGAAGTGCATGGTACCACTGGTACCGGCTCGCACCAGAGCTGTCCAGAAGTATCGAATTCCGTTTGTCTGGGTTTTTTCATCATTGATTCTCAATTAGTTCCGTTTTTGCTGCACAGCAATGAAGGGGCATATATTTGATTATCTGTGACCACCATTTGCATGTTTGGAACGATAATAATCTAAAGCTTGCTTTAATTGTCTAAACAGTCCCACAGAGTCCGGTGTTAATGTCACCAAATTATCATCCTGGGGATGTGTGTTCGAATCCCACCACCACCGCCTGACTCTATTGTGTTGAATGGCAACCCTTTGATTGGCCACTTCCCTCGTCCTGAAAACTGTATCTTTGTATATTCAATAAAAGGAAGTAAAATGAAAAGAAAATTGAACAGAACACCACCTGTCATGAAGATAATTTCTAAGTGGAACCTGGGATTGAACAGTAAAACCAAATAATAAACACAGACCGTGGAATTTGAAGCGAAAACGAAGAAGTTGTCACTCACGGTTTGCGAATAATCTTTTACGTTTCTGATTATTTCGATCTTTCGTACTGTCAAACAGGACTGGCCGGGGACGAATGCGATCAGCGGGACGCTTGCTACTTTGAACGTTGTGCGGAAAATGCGACTTGTGTCAACTTGCCGGACGGTAGTGGACGGAAGTGTTACTGTGACAACGAGGATGGTGAGTGTTTAATTGTGGCATGTGGTTTGCAATCCCTGATAGAACTGATCATTCCAAGATCATGGTGCTATCGCGTTGTCAGGTTTATTTCTTTCTGCTTTAGGTAGTGTTATTTTCTTTCAGCTCTACCACAGGCATTCTCCTGGCCCCAAGGAATTTGCATAGCTTCAAACCCAAATGTGAGCTCTGGATCTGAAATAATCTTGATTAGTTAATCAGTTGAAACAGAATTGTTACAAAACGACATTTGCTATATGAGGAGAAACCAAAATGTTTGCAGCTCCAATCGATTTTCATATTTTTTTGTATCAGAAATGTATAAACCGTCGAATTACATAGCTCATTTATTTGTGTTTTCCTAGCAAGTGAGAACTATACAAAACTCAGTGTAAAATAGTTTGATATTCACCTGAAAAGCGTCACATCGCATACTTTAGCCAAGGTTTAACCATAATCAATTTCCCGAGAAACATCGGAACTGAAATGATGGGATCACTAATATAATGCGTTACCATATCTCCAAAAGTACTTTTCAAATCATCCTATTGCGAACTGTTTACCACAAAACGCAAACATATCTGGGGGTTGATGGAATGACTGAAGTTGTTTCACTCAAAACGATTAAATTGTGGTTAAGCGGTTTGCATGATTGAATTACTCAAGTCTTTATCCCCAATAAAATGTCGAACACTGAGAGATGCAAGCCTTTTACACTGTTACATTCAACCACAAATGAAAAAAAAGAATTATTTGTGACTAGCTTTATCATTTAATTGATTGATTTTTCGCTCTGAGGACTTGGGTATTCAAATGGGAGGAAATATTCCGACACAACGTAAAGTTAAGCATATATTGAAAGGTTTGTGGATCAGGAGTGCACAGCATCACTTTGAATACACCGAAAAATCACTTGGGTGACCAGCTTTCAAATTGTTTTGAGATTCAATAGACCAGGTTTCCAGGTTTCGGTTATATGAGCAAAATTAGTTGCCTCCTTGACTTCAAGATCTGTCTATGTATGTAGTTAGGCTCCCGAATTTTTAGGAATATCCATTTGTTAAGCATATTTGAGCCACTGTACTGCTATGTTAGTGCATTTGTAAGTATATCTCAAACAGTGAATAAAGTGTTTAAATATTTGTTCGGTATTATTATTTTATATTTTATTATACACTCCGTGATGGCTAGAATAGCCCCCAGCTGACTGTGGAGTAAAGGTTTTGTTTTCCTCCATAAAATAATCTTCAAGAAAGTCCTTTTTGTTTCCCAAGATTATTTGTACGATGGTAGTATTTCAACAGATACCATGCGCATAAATCAATTACTTTAATTTTGACCTCTTTTTAAGGAATCATGAAGCTCCAGTGGCTCATTTTAACGCGCCTCGGAAATTGCTGCACATATCCAGTTTTATTGACAGTATTCTATCTGGTGTTTGTCTCATGCTTCCATCAGGCACGGTTTTTTCAATCACGCACGATGTTTGATTTTCAAGTCACTTATCTTTGCTACTCATAAGTAGTGATAATCTTACGAGAACTTTCATTCTTTCAATGCGATTCACTAAGCAGTTCGAAATTGATACCACACACGGTGACGTCTGATAAAAATAACTGAAGCTCATCCAGCATGATGAATTCGTTTTTAACCGATACAAAATATTGAAGTTCAGGTTTTTCGGCAGTAAAACACTAAACCAGATTTAAATACAGAAGTAAGAAACATGGGCTTGCTTAAGGTAGCCATTTTGATGTCGCTACATCTGTACCTGTGCATATTGCAGTCAAGGTGATTTTTATATTCCGTGAAATGATAACAGCTAGAAGCAAATGAAATTCCCAATTAGAAAGAAAAACACGACAAACACCACCCCGGATACCAATAACATCGGTGAAGGAACCATTGCCCTGTCCGTCAGATCACGTTGCATTCACCAATTCAAGTGTGGGTACTTGATCATCAACAAAGATAGGACATAGAGGTAGTTACGCCACTATGGGACCGAACACATGCAAGTGTCGTCTAAGAAAGCGATGGGCGACAAGTTTTAAACCTTTCGGCCATCGAATAGAAAGCAAATACTCAGAACTTTGATCATGAAACTCCTATTTGAACAGAAGCATTATCACTCCAATCCACGCATATCAGGTCATTTACAATGTAACAGGAACCAAGGTTACTGAAATTTTCCGCAAACGCAATCTATGCAAACAACGTGAATTGTTAATCACATTATCTTGACCTTGATGATTGAACCCACCCTCTCGTTTTTCGTGTCGTGTTGTGTTGTCCGTTGTGATCTCCTCTTTGTCTGACAATTATCTCTCTGACAATAAGAATCACTTTGACTGAAGTATTCACGTGTACAGATGCAGCGAACGGACCATGAATACATTCTGTAAGCTCGTGTTTCTGTCTTCACTATCCAAAACCGGATTTACTGACTGTGTCACTAATTTGATAAGAGTAGGTGGTAAAATCGGTATCCGTTTAGGATGTGTGGATAGTTTTCAAGTTTCCAACAGCTACCAATTCCGTGCTCCTTGGGAATTTTTCATGCTTAGTTTGAAACTTATGCAAGATTTAAGTCTATTATAACCTCGATATTGAAAGTAGTAATAGTAATAGGAGACTCCGTTTCTCTTTTAAAACCTATAAACTTGTACTTATTGATTACCCTACCTCATATGAGAACGGAAGGCATACACTGAGTTGTTTCTTTTAACATTGCATACATGCATTCACATAAACCAATGAATCAAATAGGTGGACACGGGGGAACACCGTAGTCCTGTGCTTTGCTTGTCTCTCTGTGTATCCGTCAATCCAAAACACTTCATGACTATTCCCAGCTGGAGGTAACTTTTGTGAATCAAACCAGTCAATCGCACGAACTCATTGGATGTGCAGCTTCCAGGATCAGACAATCTTTTTCTCTTATCTCACAGCGCCATTTTTGGCGTGTTTGATCTCTTGCTCTCTCTCTCTCTGTGCACAATGGTTCCATGTTTTCGAAGCAGTAGCTTGTTTTTTCTATTCAAATACATAAGTGTTTGTTCACTTCAGCTGCAGTGTTGGTCGCACTGTAGGCACGATATCGGTCGTGATTTTCCACTGAAACATCGCTGTTGAAGAGGAACACTCACAGTTACAACTCTTTTGTGAGTAACTCCTACGTTAAATGGCCACAGTTTGCGTTGAGCGGCTTTCGATTTACTGTGGGTTGTTGTCCGTGGGCTGTTTTATACCCCGTATCATGTAGTAATAAAGGATTTCCAACAAGTTTTGCATGAGATCAGTTAGAAAAGTCAAACGTGCTCTGGGGTGCACAATTTTGGCGTGCTTTATTGCATGGACTAAAATTAAAATAAAACTTTTCAGATGTCACAGATAATGATTACTGTAGTGATTCGGAACACTGGCATTCATGTTTGGTTTATCGCAGACCGTGGTTTCTGTTCTTCTCATTCTGTTCGCTTCATGACAAGTTTACACCTATGGGGAAGTTAGTCGTTATTCTCCTTTCTTTTTATAAAGTTGATTCCGTGTACATGGTTTTGCCGTAGGCGCTTCAAGTATTATGAATGTGTCATTTACATATCGCATTCAGCGCTTAGGTTTTATGGTTTCCAATGTCTTATTTTTTAATTGCTTTGTGACTTAATCTGCAAGTAGCCCTGATTATAGTGAAACAATATGAATTCTTTGTATTTTCTGGTGTACGTTTCCGTTGAATCGTAATTAGGTTTTTTTCTAACTCCGCAAGCTCTACTGGGAGCGTGGATATTCATTGCGAATTTTGCTGGTTTTCTTGCTTGCTTCGTCTAATTGATTTGGTATATCTTTAAACAATAAGATCACGTCGAAGCACGTCATCTTATCACGTGGTTCTATGTGTAATCCCTCTATTTTTGGCTAATAATCATGTGAAGCGTTTTGTATCATAATGATTTTCAGGCAGGCTGGACGTGAGAGCCCAAAAAGGTTCATTTAAGAAGTTGATTTTGTCCTGTAAAAGATCATGTACACCATGTTCGTCACCTACACTATTTGGTGTGTTGTATCCATGTGAAGCTTGAGTGAGATGATAAGACACCAATCGTATTTTGCTTGTATTTTAATCAGTAGTACCTGCATAAGTTCCACAGATGTGCAATTACCTTAAACAGTGCACATCACGAGACTGTTGCATCATGTGATCACTCAAGATTAATCTGTGTTTATCAACTGCACTCATTTTGATCTTTTGAGTAAGAAAAAGTACCAAGGTTTGTCGATGTTTCCGTCCATAAATTGCAGTGACCAACAATGCCCTACCTAGAAGATACATTAGTTAGGATTTTGTTATTTAACCACAGCCTGTTCTTCCTCAATACCGTCAGCGATTCCTCCACATTCTTGGTTAAATGCAAATTAATGTACATTTTGGCGTATTGATCACCTCGTTCTGGCTCATTTTCCTTGATGTGGTTCGCCAACAAACGCTTGTCACAATCACAAGCACTCTGTATTGTTAGAGATTTTACTGAACTGTCTTCTCGCTCACTCAAAATATCTATTTCAAACTTCGTTGCAGTGGGCCCTGTGCTGGATAATAATCCATCGGGCAGATAGGAAGTAGGTAGAGCTTATCGAACGAACTCACAACTGCGAAACGATTCGTCCTGCCCCCACACTATACATCTTTTCCATTCTATGCATACTCATTTCGTCTAGCTCCCGCTTGTTATCCACACTACAATGCCTGTTCGTTAAATCCGTGCAAAAATGGAGGTATCTGTCAACTTGTCGGATCGAACGGTCAAGATTTCAACTGTATCTGTACATCCATGTGGCAAGGTCCGACGTGTGATGAGCGCCGTTCCGCGTGTGATGAGAAAGCGCATCAGATGCGGCAAATGATGCTGCTCTCGTCCGAGCCGTCTGCGGACCCCCGAACTGTCTCGGTCAGTGTGTGCATGAACGGGGGCAAATGTTTTGAGGATCCGGATCGCTTCGGATTTTACTGTGTCTGTCCGGCCGAGTGGACCGGAGAGCGTTGCGAGATACCGAACAACAAGTCCTATTCGGTCAGTTCCATCGGAAATCCGATCTTTTCACTTATCGTCATGGTTACTAGTTATTCTTTTGTCTCAAAATTGGGCATTCTTCTTTCTTCCTCCTGTTATTGTTTGAAATTCCTTGCCTTACCGAATGTTCAGAAACTGAGTTGTAAACATATTAAGATGAGAAACCTGTGGCAAACTTAGAACTAATGAAATCCTTACGCAGTATCACAAAAGCTTTGACCCAGAGTGTATCTATCGACAACGCTAACACAATTGTATTAGAAATCTGTTTTGCTGGTAGACATGCGTTAGCAATACTGCGGATACAAATTGCTTCACTGCGGGTGAGAATATTCTTGGTGATTTGTTAGAACATCTCTAATCACAAGAACTCGACTGAATCAGTTTCAAGTGACTATTTGAAACGGATGCGCAGTCCATTTTGCTTGAGTCAAAGTTGATTCCGGGTCCAGTGGCTGCAACAATAGAAACCGATAAGCAAAAAGACAATGAGAAGCAGACACATGTTCTAATCAGTTATCGAGATTGGCTCCTGTATAGATTATGATGTTGATTCCGGTTGACAGGACTAATAACAAACGGTCTTGCTTTCTGGAAAGATAGCTGCCTTTGGTAAGATTCAAACTGTAATTGTGGGAAACTCATCCCTAGATGAGCTTCACTACAGTGATTTATGGTTTGCCTCAGCTGATAAGTTCATAATATGCACCGCCCAAGTCGGTCTGATTGGCGATTGTGCGTGTCACCACAATACAAATACGACGGAGGTGGATAAATACAATCAATCGGCTGATCAGAACCAGCAATAACTGGTCACTGCTGATTACTATTTGTAAAATTCACCTTACCTCTATATTGGACTAATAAAGTTACCTTTCTGTTGAACAGTAGCACCCATCGATCCATTTTTTTCCTATTCACTGTTCACTCTGCAGGCCAAATATCTTCTACTGATCCTGGGCATTCCCTTGGCATCTTTCGTCATGTTACTTTGCGTCGCGATAATCGCATTGACGGTGTGGTGCCACTACCACAAAAAGTAAGTGAAGTAAATAAACTTGTAATCCACTGAATAAAGCAATAAGTATTCTGTGTCCTTATCCAATATACAGCCTGAAGAGGGTTAAAATTATTTATTCAGTTAGAAACAAATGCATTACAATAGGGCTATCTGTCCTATTCAAGAGTATTGCAAGTCTGATCTGGGCCAAATATTCAGCATTCATTCTTTCGTAAATTCATTTGTTTAGTTGCACTGTGTGCATAAAGAACCTGTCACATTCTAGGTCTATTCCAAACGGTTAGGTTTTAAGTCTAAGAACCCTTAGCGGTCCTTCAAATTTGGCGAGAGCGTCAATTGGTGTACAAGCGGATCGGGCTTCCGACCAAAATAATTAGAATATTTTTTTATAAAGGTATTTAATTGAAACTGTTCTCTATGTCGTGAAAATTTACAAGCCTATTAAATTGGTTTAAATTGATGGAACCATACTGCAGCATCCGTGATGGTTATATTATGTGAAAACTCTGTTTTCCCGTAACAAATTTGAACAGAGAAGTCAGAAACTTGGGTTTGCACAATGTATCCATGGTCATTTCACTGCATCTGTACAGATACATACTGCAGTAAAAGTGATTTTATAGTCAGCGAGATAATAAATGTGAGACGAAGAGAAGATCGCTAATCACAACGCGTAACACGACACAACAACACAAACGAGAGGGACGAGAGAGTGTAGGGAGTCTATCACCAGGGTAAAGCTAAAGTGACTAACCATTCACGTTGTATTGTATTATAGATGCCTAAATTGTTTGCATACATCGAGCAAAGCTCGTAAAATGCAACTATTACCCAGACCACTTGTTTTCTTTTGGAAGACAGACCTTTCATTAGTCCATCTGGGACGTACACGGGTACCCTACCCGCTGCCCTCAATACTGAAGACTGACTGAGGACTGGCCGGCGAGTAACGTTTAGGTCTAAAAGCTCAGTGTGGTCATCCAATTAGTTGTGATGAGTAAGCTGGATGTTGGGATGAATTGTGTACAGTCGATGAAATAGGTTTTCTCCGTCCTCCTTGATGTTGCTTATGATGAAAGTGTCATCAACATAGCGACAGTATAGATCTAGTTTCGAGATATCCTCTTCAAGCCTTTCTTCTAGGTGGCCTAGAAAAAAGCAGTATGAGACAATGCCAAACAACCTCGGACATCGATTTTGTTTGTGAAAATAGATTAGTCATGCAGGGTTGACTTACAGGTCATCACTGAAAAATTTTGTCATTTTTGATCGAGTTTTTCCTTGAGGTTTATACACCCATTTCGATCCGGCCTAACAGTCAACCCAACCGTAGTCAACTTGAAGCACCGATCATATGGCTTACTCGAACTGATCCTCTTATTAATTGTTCAAATTTTTATCTGGCAGATTTGAAGTTTTTATGTCCAGATTGTGAAAAGTTCAGTAGTCTCGGTGGGATTTGAACCCTCGCACGGATGCCGCCGACCCTTTTCTACAATGCGCGCTTTACCAGCTGAGCTACGAGGCCTTGTAGGTCAGATGGTAGAGCATGCACTGTACAAAGCGTAGGCGGCGTCTATGCGTGAGTTCAAACATCTAATACGTGTTTGGAGATTGCAATGTTGAACTCAATTTCATCCTAATGTTTATTAGCAGTAATTACTACTAATAGTGTTTATTAAGCAATATTTTTATTTTTCGCATTTGTTATTAGATTAGAAGAATGTGATTCATTGGTAACTGTATATTTCATAACTGTTTCTCCCGAACTCGAAAAAATAAACAGGAAAAAGGCCAACCGGATCAAAACTCAAATAATCCGATACCCTTCAGAGTATTCGAGAGGCCGATATTGTGATTCTGCTCCACTGCCCGGAATCCGGCCATCATCACATCCTGAAGATCGTCGATTTACCCTTGTTGGACTTCCACAAGGGATTAACAGAACTGATCCGTTACTTCCAATTGGGAAACGGGAAACATCCGTGTATGAGGAATGTTCAGACGAGGGGTATGTGGACATGACCCCATTCAACCCGGTCTACCGCAGTGAGCGCTTCTCTGTGTCGTCTGATGTAGAAGAACCCTCTGCACCGACACTACCCAAACGACCTGAATATTTTTACAGTAAATCCTCCTTGGATCCAACCGTGAGCGGACCGTCTGTGGGCACTCGCTCATCGGAGATGGAGAGAACTTCGTATACAGTGACCACTTCTGAATCGTCTTCTGAATCGCACAACAATCCACAACACAGTCGGTGATCAGCGAACACTGAAACAAATCAGATCGATTGTTTCATTGCAGATCTAGTCCATGGTTTGAAAAAGGCCGTACGGTAGCCAAGTAAAACAAAATGTGCAGACCTTTGTCTGCTTGCTCAATGTACTTTACCCCGTATGTATTATTAATCATGGTATTGTGATATGCATCAAAATCCCTGTGATCTTTCCATCCACAATATATGGTACCGGAGTCTGAATGTTATTATAGTTTTATTGATGACTGAATAAATACGCAATATAATAATGTGTTTCACTTTTCTTTATTTCTTACGTAGTTGCTATATAGTCCATGGAAGCGAACAAGCATTGGATTCCTTATCTGGTTGTTCAGTATAGAACTTATCAAATTTTAACCCGAAATTCGATGATATAGTTCAATCCTCTCAGACGACAATGGGTTGGACTTGCAGCAACAATAAAAATGCCCCTTATCTTAGATGCACAGTGTTTTAATTATTTTGACCGGGAGGAAAACTACGGTTGAGTAGGTTCATGGGAGGTTCTATATACGTTTATTCATGGTGGGTACTAGTGTTGTGAGATACTACTGACATTTGTGAGTAGTGTTTTTGGATTGCGTAAAAGAATGTGGTTGGTGGTTTTTGCAACGTTCAAAAATTAACAAAAACCGCCAGAGCAAATTACTGCGTTCAAAATTGTTACTAAATAAAATGCGCATCAACCGTCTGACATTACCACTAATTATCCTACTTGCTTGTGGGAAATAAGATAACCTGTTCTAAATGAGATGTTTTATTGTGTGTACACCAATTTATCGATTCCCTTACCATTGTTTCTAATCAACAACTCATCCTACCCTGGCAATGTCTTGTGGATGTTTAACACACTGGTTCACCAATGTTGGTCGAAATCTTTCACTAGTAAAACCTCACTAGTTCATTCCGCATTTAAGTCCGATAGAACATCAGATGGGTTAATTGATAATGTATAATCTGGGTGGTCTTTCTTCCCACAGAAAACACCACATAGCTATACTACATTGATTTCTGTCCTGAACGATTTCGCTGCATCTCAAATGATTCATATTGCAGAAAACGTTGTTTATACAAAGCCTTCACATGGCAAGAGTGACTACTGAAATACAATAAAATATCAGCATAGAATGTTTCAAATAAAGTTTATATTAACGTGTCAAAACGCGTCCTTGACTTTGTTCTCGCTCAGATATATTTCCCGGGATCAGATGAATTAGATTGATATGGTTTTGTCACGCGTAACAGCGCAACACGTCCTAGATGCACTACTAGAAAAAGTGCTGCTAGAGTGCGGAAATTGCACATCTCTTTCAGTTGGTGTAGCAACTGAACGAGCGAGTGGTTAAGCAAGCTGAATAAATAGGTCTAAGAAGTGGCATCAGGATGATTCTAATAGGAGCTTTCTTTCTCCCATTACACTGATCACTTATCTTCTGATTTTACTAGGTGCATGTCTGCTATAGAAGCCAAATACAAAGGACAACATCACGACAGTGAGATCAGAGAATCTACTGTTTGCTGGAGATAATGATTACCTTAAGACAATGCAGTTGAAGCAGTGCCGATTGAACAGCGAGAAGCTGAACCATTTTGTCCCTTACCATCAAACGATACATCCTGAACGTAACGGAGATGAAGTTTTCTGGTTAAATTGAAGTATAAATGATGGGTGATTTGTTTTGACCCAGATCCACAGTGAAAGCGCTTATTTAGCGTTTGGGCCAATGGTATCCGCGAATGCAAACGAACAGAAGAGGATGAGAGCAGGATCCAAGAGGAGAACGACTGAATGGACGAAAGTTTAGAAAAACTTGTATTGGCAAAGAGAGGAGTGTACGGGCGAGTAAGCGAGCAGAAAGTGAAAGCCAATAAGTATCTAAATATATATCTATAGCTACATATAGGAACCTATAAGCTCATATAGGAAACATGAGATATATGGTCTAGTTTTCAGTGATTGGTGACATGAACTAGGTCAGTTCAGCTCACTCAGTAACATTTGTGTCCCTTGCCAATTGATAGTTGGTTATCCAACAGAACGACTGATATCACAAAATTTCAACGGTGATCGTATTGGTGTGATCTATGGGGCAAAGATAGGGAGAGTAGGTTAGCAGAAAGTGAAAGTCAACGTGCCGTGACCAACAATCTGGTCTTGGTCCGGCAGAACAACCAAGTCCGATCATGGGAAACGTGTATTTGCCAAAAGGTTTGATGCCACCACTGAAGTCCTCTCCCCTATCAGGCCAAGAATTGTCTTGGTGTGGTTGCAAAGTCTGTTATCTTACGGAAATCTGAAATTCACTCAACTGCCCATAAATAAGTTGATATATCAACATAAGAGGGTAATACGGATGATGGTGGTGATGGTACAGAGCGGTTTCGTTACTTGCTCTGTTTTTGAAAAGGATGGAACTAGTGTAGGATACGAGCAAGCAAAACAGTTGATCAGGGCTGTCAGAAAATTGTCTCTGCTCCCTTTATATAGTGATAGATTGGTGGTTTTGCTGGGGAGTGTTATGGGCGCAGCGTTATTACTCTCTTCTTCGTGGATTGTGTTCTTAGAAAGAGCAAGAAGAGCATGTCAAAGAAGCTCTTGTTGGAGTTGATCGGTAACGTCAAACGCAAATGACGAAAACGAAGGTTTTTCTTTCTGCAATTTTTTACAATAATTAATAATAATAATACGGTGTATTTTACAAATCCCGTGAAGCATGCTAGTACGCATGATCAAATGTATAAACAACAATGATGTAAAAAATAAAGGTTCAGACAGGAAGTAATAGTACAGGGAGGGTGAGATCGTAAATTCCAAAAGAGTACAATGGATATCGTAAAGATTCATTGTGGTTAGAGAGAAACACAAAGCAGACAACGTCACCTGATGTAGTAATGGGGTGAGTTGGTATGGAAGTACCTCAGTGTAAATGTTTCTCATGAGAAGGACATTTAAAGGGTCACTGTACTCGAGGTGGGAATATCCGCTCGGGAGATAGTGTGCGTAAAAAAGTTCAAATAACAAGAGAAGATTGGTCAAAGTGAAAGAGTCAAATTTTAGAAAATATTGGAAAACAAACTGACGGGATAATGAGCAAAAATGTACTCTTTGTAACGGGTTTTGTATTTAACGTTAGCTATGTGTGACGTGTGATACTGACCTCGGAAATTCCTTGTACACTTTAAACGCACTGAATATGTATAGTATACAATTCGAATAGAGTTCGTGTGCCATTCGATTCGAAGTTGTTCTATTTCGGGGATTGGTGTTGCGCGAATTCTGAGGCTCCATTTCGAATACTATTCACAATGCTACATTTGGTGTCGCGAACGGTCTACTGAACAATGAATTCCACTCCGTTACAATCCCTAGATCTCAAATATAGTGCACGCGATATCGAGGATTATTTTGAACGTTTTGAAATTTGGTGCTTGACTCGTTCGAAACCCGATGATAAAAAGAAATCCGCTTTCTTTTTGAATGCTGCCGGTAAAAATGCTTATACACTAATCAAAAGCTTGGCTTACCACTCCCCACTGGTTTCTGTAACATATGAGGATATAAAATCCCTCATCCTACAGAATGTGAAGCTGACGAACTTTGAAGCTTCAGAGAGTGAGCGAAATTTCATTCCATGGTACGCAATCTTGGATTTGCTCACTCAAGCTGTAAAGTGTGATTTCGGATACTTACTGGACATGCAGTTGAGAGACCGGCTGATCGCTGGCATTAACAATACTGTTTTGTAAAATGAACTTTGAAAGCTATCCAATTGGACGTTCAAAGATGTACGGGCCCATTGTGAACAATATCAGGACATTTGAGCCGCTACTTCATCCATGCCGTCGACTATCGAATCTACAGCTATGTTCAATTGACTCAAAACTAAATCCACGAACGTTCATGCCACAGCCGGACAGCTCAATCCAGTTACACAATCTAGCTCACACAATGTGGCATATTCGATAAATCCTATGGCAATCGTGCATCCTGTGGCAAACGTCATTCCAGATTTGAATATCGCTTTCGTTATGCTTCATGTCCCAAATGTGGCAAAACTGGCCATATTCAGTCTGCGTCGCAGTACCAAGACTTGTCATAAATTCAATCCAATGACACAAAAGTGAGTGACAGACAAACATTTTTCTTCTTTATCCTCTGCAATTTTTTTCAAGTCAAGTCAAGAAGCGGCTTTAATTCTCCCTATAGGGGATGAACA